CCCTGAAACCTGTCAGGATGTTGAATGTATGCATCCCTGAATGAGGCTCGAGAGTCATTCTTCTAAGAATATAAGAATGGCCATACTGGGTCAGACCAATGGCCCCGTCTAGCCCAGTATCCTGTCTCTGACAGTGCCCAATGCCAGAGGCTTCACAGGGAATGAACAGAATAGGGCAGTTATCAAGTGGTTCATCCCTTGTTCTCCACTCCCAGCACTTAGAGGCTTAGTACACCCAGAGCATGGGGTTGCATCCCTGATCATCTTGGCTAAGATCTAGTTCTTTTTTGAACTCACTTATAATTTTGGCCTTCACAACATCCCCTGGCAACGAGATCCACAAGTTAACTCTGGGTTGTGTGAAGTAGTACTTCCTTTTGATTGTTTTAAACCTGCTGCCTATTAATTTCATTGGGTGACCCCTGGTTCTTGAGTTACATGAAAGAGTAAATAACACTTCCTTATTTACTTTCTCCACACCATTCATGATTTTTTACACCTCTATCATAACCTCCCTTAGTCGTTTCTTTTCCAAGCTGAAAAGTCCCAGTCTCTGTAATCTCTCCATACCCTAATCATTTTTGTTGCCTTTCTTTGTACCTTTCCCAATTCTAATATCTTTTTTGAGATGAAGCGACCAGAACTCAAGTATGCAAGGTGTGGGCATACCATGGATTTAAATAGTGGCATTATGATATTTTTATCACATTAATTATAGCCTATCATATCTTCCCTAATGGTTTCTAACATTCTGTTCACTTTTTTGACTGTAGCTACACATTGTGTGGATGTTTTCAGAGAACTATTCGCAAAGACTCCAAGATCTCTTTCTTGAGTGGTAACAGCTAATTTAGACCCATCATTTTGTATGTATAGTTGGGATTATGTTTTCCCAATGTGCATTATGTTGCATGTGTCAACATTGAATTTCATCTGTCATTTTGTTGCCCAGTTACCCAGCTTTGTGGGACCCTTTGTAACTTTTCACAGTCTACTCTGGATTTAACTATCTTGAGTAATTTTGTATCAGCTGCAAATTTTGCCACCTCATGGTTTACTTCTTTTTCCAGATCATGTATGAATATGTTGAATGGTACTTGATCCAAGTACACGTCAATGAATATTTACCGCTCTGCATTCTGAAAACTGACCATTTATTTTACCCATTCTTTCTTGTGTTTTAATCAGTTACTAATGTATAAGAGGATCTTCTCTCTTATGCCATGACTGCTTACTTTATTCATCCACTCGATCACCCTTCTCCACATGTTTGTTGACACTCACCAAAAAATTCTAAAAGATTGGTGAGGCATGATTTCCCTTTACAAAAGCTATGTTGACTCTTCCCCAACAAATTGTGTTCATTTATATGTTTAATAATTCTGTTCTTTACTACAGTTTCAACCAATTTGTCTGGTACTGAAGTTAGGCTTACTGGCCCGTAATTGACAGAGTTGCCTTTTTTAAAAATTGGCGTCACATTAGCTATCCTCGAGTCATCTGGTACAGAAGCTGATTTAAGTGATAGGTTACGTATCACAGTTAGTAGTTCTGAAAATTCATATTTGGAGTTCCTTCAGAACTCTTGAGTGAATACCGTCTGGTCCTGGTGACTTATTGCTGTTTAATTTATCAATTTGTTTCAAAACCTCCTCTAATGACACCTCAATCTGGGACAGTTCCTCAGATTTATCACCTAAAAAGAGTGGAAATCTCCCTCACATCCTCTGCAGTGAAGACCAATGCAAAGAATTCATTTAGCTTCTCCGCAATGGCCTTATCGTCCTTGAGCACTCCTTTAGCACCTCGATCATCCAGTGGCCTCACTGACTGTTTGGCAGGCTTCCTGCTTCTGACGTACTTAAATTTTTTTTTGCTGTGAGTTTTTGTGTTGTGTGCTAGTTTCTCTTCAAATTATTTTTTGACCTGCCTAATTATACTTTTACACTTGACTTGACAGAGTTTATGCTCCTTTCTCTTTTCCTCTGCCTCAGGTACCTTTAGCATGAGCAAATTAAAAATCAGACTTGTGACCCTGAAAGGCCAACTCAGTATATTATGCTGCATCAGGGATACATTTTTGAGAGGATAAACTAGAGCAACAATTTTAAAAGTAAGGGACGAGAGGCAGCTGTAGCATATACAAGTAGGTTGTACTTAGTATGCAGCTTAGACCTATCCCAGTTTTTAAGTAAGCATGTAAAGGCAAGAACTAGTTTGCATGGTTTAACAAAGAGATTATAAGTACATAAACAGAGAAGTCATAATTAAAATTGAAAGAGTAGGGAAGATGCAGAAGTGAAGACTAGGTTCAATCAATGTACAATGTAGGCCACATAAG